GTTTTTGAAATTTAAATTTTTTGTTCTCCTCTAAGCACAACGCCGAATCAAAATATTGTTGCATGCCTCGAGGCTACGCTCAGGAGCCAAGAAAAGCAAAGAAAACTCACTGTAAATACTCAATCTAAGCGCAACGATCTAGGCCTATCTGTATATAGGTGTAAATATGTATATATGTATATTGTTTTTGTTTTTCTTATGTATTCTTACATTATGTATATATATATGTGTATGTGTATTTGTATGTGTATGTATGCCGTTTCAATTCTTACACGTTTCGCACACACGCACAGCGCAAAGACGATGAAATGAAGAGGAGAAAAAATTAAATTGATATAAAAAGATATTTATATTTATAGACATATATGTGTATATGTATGCGTATGTATATGTATGTGTATATATAACTCAATATATATATATATCTATATCTATATCTATATCTATCTATAGAAAGCTAGAGAGAAAGCTGCTTTTAAATTATGCAAATGAATCCGCGCACAAAAGGCCACAACAACAATAACTCGAATTCGAATTCGAAATTAATTTAAGTGTTCCATAACAAAAGGAAAGACAAACGTAAAAAAAAACGTAACAAGATGTCGAAAATGGGAAGCCCAAACGAAAATGAAGTGTAAAAAGTGTCAAGTAAAACAATAAGCGAGAAAAACAAACACTCACACACACAGAGAGAGATAGAGAGAGAGACAAAGAGAGAGTGCAAGCAGAAGAAAAGAGCAAAAGCCAGACGGTTCGTAGCGGTTCGAGCTGTAACGGTTAACGGCTGTCACGCGTCTCAAGTTCCATTTCGTTTTGCCGCTGTGTTTCGTTTGCCGTCTGCCGTTCGTCGTTTGCCGTTTCCCGTTTCCCGTTTCGTTCGCCGGCTGCACTTCCAATGGCTGTTTGTTCCTTATGATGGAGACATTTCTTGTCCTGGGCCTGTGTTTTATCCTGTACGAAGCATTGGATTTCTTTCAAGGCTGCATCCATAGCAACACGCCCTCACCGAGCGACCAGATCGAGGCCTATCGCCGCGAACTCGACGAACAGCGCCAGCAGCAGCAGCAGGAACAATTTCTGGCCGGTCTAACGCCTCTGCTGGGCGCACAATTTGCAGCTGCTGCAGCTGCCGCTGCCGCTGGCTCTCAGTCGACGCTCAGCAGCACGCCCACAGCCTCGACGGCGAGCGTCATTAGTGATTCATACGAACAGGAGCAGTCGCAGTCGCAGTCACAGTCGCAGTCGCAGTCGCAGTCACAGTCGCAGTCACAGCAGCCACACTCGTTGAGCACGCCGGGTCTGTTTCGGCCCGCTGCATTGGGCTATTACGATCCGGAGGATCCGTTGCATGCCACCTCGTCGCTGCCACGCGACTATTACTACCTGCAACAGCAGCAGCTGAAGAACAAGGCCAGCTCGCGATCGTTGCTATCGAAGTTCTCCACAACCAATTCCGACAATCGCATCCATCCGGAGGGCAGTGCCCACGGAGTGCTCGGCGCTCACAACTCGGCGGTTGTAACCACACAGCCGCTGCCCGTGGGTGAGTCGGCCGCCAGCTTGGGACTCTTCGATTGCCAGCCGCAGCTTTTGCCATTGCTGCCGACGGCGCCGCTCTTCCTGGAGCTGAAGCGGGCCATAATAAGCACACAGTCAGCGACGACGGCGACGACGCGCAGGACTAGCAGAAGGCGTTGCCACCTCGACGAGAACGAAGAGGAGGAGGAGGAGGAGGAGGACGAAGAGGAGGAAGACGACGAGCAGCAGGAACCGGAGACAATTTGTCCAAAGTGCGTCGAGGAGGAAGTGCAGCAGCAATACGCCGACGCCGACGACGAGGAGGAGGAGAAGCAACAGCAGCAACTGGAAGAGGACGAACACGATCGGCTGTCTAGCAACGATTCGGATTGTCACGCCGGCGGCGCCAATAGCGAGCCAAACATCTGCGCCGCATCGCAGCTGCTGCCACGCATCCATCACATCGCCATCGACGACATTGGCATCGGCGAGGCGAACCACTGCCTGGCAACTAGTTCCAGTTCCAGTTCTCACGCCGACTTCCGTGAGATCGAATGCGAGCGTCTGCGACGCAAGTGCGTGAGCGTTAAGCGCATCTATAGCATATCGGAGAAGTTCTAAGCTTTCAATTCCACAAATCCAAAGCCAGAAAAAAGCCAAAAATCCAAAAAAAAAACAAAATCAAATCAAATCAAATTTATCAAAGCTCAACTCATTTTTCTTTGGCGCTAAACTCACCATTGCACCAGTCTAATCAATCTATCTATTAAACCAAAATCGAGCAATCAAAAATTGTACAATCGAATCGAAATCAAATCAAAAGATCGCAATCATCTATCGCCTCACAGAAAGAAAAAAACAAAAAGCAAAAACAAAAACCATCAGCAAACCAAAATTGAATAATCGAAAATCGAAAATCGATCATCGATAATCGAACAATGCAAGCAAAATCACAAAATTTCCATATGCGAAATACCCCACACAAGGTTAGCAAAATATGCGCCAGCAAAACGAACAGAAAAGGCGCAAAGCGCGAAGCGAACTTCAGCGCGCATCGCACGATTCCCGCAATTCAATTCAACCAACTCAAATTTGCCAATAGAAATTTGTATTTTGTTTTCTTGCACTGCATTTTCAGCTGCCATTTTCCAATTTATTTAGTTTTGTATTCACCTTATTCACCACACCTGCCACCTGCCACCAGCCACCAGCCACCAGCACTCACCTCGCCACCAGACCTCGCTCTGCAATTCTCAAACTGTAATTTTGTGCATCTCACATCTGTCTATCGCTCACTCCACCTCCACTGCCTGCTCTAGTCCTTTAAGTGTTTAACGTCTTCTATCATCGTTTTTCCAGACAGGCTCCACACAGCAGCTGCATGGTGCGGCGCCATCACTAGTAAGACTCTGTGCAAACTTTTTCTAGTGCTTATTTTTTTCTTTCTTTCTTTTTGTGCCCTGAACCCCACTGCGATCACCTTAGTTTTATCTTTAATCGATGCAAAATGATATCGCACTTCGGCTCTTTGGGCATGTCTCAGGCGTTTTACAGGCTAGAGTATTGAAGTGTTGCCTTAGATCAAGTTTATCGATAACTTTTTCTATTTTTTGCCAGTTGTGTAGGATCAATAAGATGAAAGTTTAGTTTAAGTTAAAGCGAATATACAAGGGGCTTGTCTACTTGTCAGAATTTGTGCATATTCAACGGAATAATAGGATTCGCCGTTGAAAATTTCATTGGAATCCGTTAACTAACACCGAAGCCTGAGGCGCTTGCTCTGTTCATGTGCAAGCAGACACACACACACACACACATAGAGACTGTATTTCGTTTGAAATTCTATAAATAGAAACGTAAGTGTGGTGCCATCGTCGGCAGCTTGGAGTTTGTCGCTGTGGATCGAGACAATGGCTGAAGTGCGATGTGGTCTCGGGTTCGAATCCCGTTGCTTGTTATATTGTCATTAATAAAATTTATTTGTTTTTTTTTAATTTTATACTTATTTTGCGTGTGCCTAGCATGCTTAAGCAGCAGCTCAGTCTGGGTTCAGGGTATCACCGAGTCGGCCAGAGCCGAACTTCGTTCAATTTATAGTTAAAAAGTGGCTCATGCTGGATATCTTTTCTTTCCGAACAATATTTATTTATAGAACGTCTGTCTATTTATAATCAGGGTGTGTGTCTCTCTCTCTCTCTCTCCCCCGCTCACTTGGCTTTGCCTTGGCAAATCAAAGTTTACTTGTTCCACAAACATATTCATGGGGCTTTGTTGTTGTTTTCTGGTTATTGTGTTTATGATTCAGTTTTGCTTTACAGATTTCTCTATCCGCACTCGTTGTATGCCAGCAAATTGTTAACTAGCTTAAGCTTCACTACCGGACCCACTCCTTGCCACTGACTGCTCCAGCCACCGCAAGCTGCTTTTGTTTGTAGCCAGGCAACTCAAGTCCGTGTGTTGCTCCCGCTCTCGACTGTTATGCAAAGTAAATTGTATATAATTGTTGGGCACTCGCACACACACTCACACACACACACACGTGTATATGCATGTATATGCTTCTGTTATGGAGCTTTATTATCATATCTTACAAATTGTCGTTGCAAAGTTGAAGCTGCTAGAGCCAAAGCCAAAAAGTTCCTTGAAATTTTTAGCAATTTATGCAAATGCTGAAGTTGAGCAGCTTATCTGGCAGGAAATAGATGTATGCATATATTTAGAGACAAATAGATGGGTATATATATATAAATATATATATATATATATATATATATATGTATCTATATATATTTATTTATATTTATATATTCTTCTTCTTTATGTATTTCAATTTCTGTTCAAAAAAATCTATCTCAGATCTATCCATGATCTATCTTTATTCTATCTCTGATTCAACTCTGACTCATCTCTGATTTATTTCTGATCAATGTCTGATCCATCTCTGATCCATCTCAAATCTATATTTTATTTATCTTTCATCTATCTTCAATTTATCTCTGATCCATCTCTGATCTGTCTCTGATCTATATCCGATCTATCTCTGATCCATCTCTGATCCATCTCTGATCTATCTCTGATCCATCTCAGACCTATCTCAAATCTATCTCTTATTTATCTTTCATCTATCTTTGATTTATCTCTGATCCATCTCTGATCTATCTCCGATCTATCTCTGATCTATCTCTGATCCATCTCAGACCTATCTCAAATCTTTCTTTTATTTATCTTTGATTTATCATTGATCCATCTCAGACCTATCTCAGATCTATCTTTTATCTATCTTTGATTTATCTTTGATCCGTCTCTGATCCATCTGTGATCTATCTCTGATCTATCTCTCCTCTATCTATACCAGTTTCCGTTCAATTCATTTAGTTTTCTTTCAAGTTTCCCTTAGCTGTAAGTTTGTTGCTTTCGTTAGAGTCGTGCAAGAGGCACTTTGACTCTAGGATATTTACAAGTCGCTGCAGCTGAGGACTCTGCACTTGGCGCAGCTTGTGCGAATCCCTTTCAATTATTCGATATGTGGTAGCATTTACTGTTTGCTTCTTTTCTTAACTTATTTTTTTCCTTTCTTTGCCTCAACCCTCAACCCTCAACTTTAGCTTCGTTTTCATTTCATCCACACACACACGCACACACAAGCACTTGCCCATAGCCCTAAGACCCGCATTATTTTTCATTTCCTTCCACTTGCCCAGCTCCTGTTGCCATCGATTGTTCCTCTGTGAGTGTGTGTGTGTGTGTGTGTGTGTGCTTAGTTAAGTCCGCGTGGCTCACATTCGCGTCTATCCAAGCCAAAGTCCGCAAGTCCTTACTAGTCCTTGCCGTTCGCCTTTCTCCCCTTTTCCCGCTCCTCTCTCCGCTCTCTCTCGTTTCTCGTTTCTCCTTTCAATGTTCGTAATCTTTTGGTCTTTTCTTCATCATCGTTTAGCTTGATGTGGTTTTGCCCCCGACTTAATCAGTTTTACTATTGTTTGTTTTTACTATATACATACCATATTCCGGCTTCTCTCTCTCTCTCTTTCTTTGTGTGTGTGTGTGAGGCTCTGCTGATTTGCTGCTGACCAGCGCAGCTGCTGGCCCTCTTCGTCTTCTTCTTATGCTTGATGTTGTTGTTGTTGTTGTTTGATGTTGCTTTGCTGATTGGGTTCAGTGGTTGGATGGTCTACTCAATGGCTTGTTGTACACCAACACACACACACACACACATACACACATGCCACAATGGCGCGTTAAAAAGTTAGCTTCGCCTTTTTGTGTAGAACAGCTCTTGCTGCCAATTATGTTGCATATGTGTGCGAGTGAGTGAGTGTGTGTGTGTGTGTGTAAGTGTGTGTGTGTTTGTGTAAGTGTGTAAGCTGCCATGACAGTTTAGCATTGCCATTAAATGAAGAACAACAGCAACAACAACATGCTCTAACTCTAACACTAACAGACACACACACACACACACACACACACACACACATACACACACGCACACCCACACACTCCTATACATTCCTTTACCCTAGCACAGGATTCTCTGGCGTCTCATAAATGCTTCATCAGTGCAGCCAAGGCAACAGCAGCAATGAAACTGCAGCACGAAAGCAAAGTAGCCGACTGCGAAATACCCTATCTGTGGGCAGCTATCCAAGCTGTATTGGGCTATTAATGTGTTAGGCTCTCAAACTAAGACTCTGCAACTGTAACAGCAAACGGTTGACTTGGTTTGGTCAGTTTAAGTTCGAAACGTTGACTCTCAAACTGTACTTTTTGAATAACTGTGCTTGAAAAGTGACTCTCAAACTGTACTTTTTGATATGCATTCATGGAATGTGACTCTCAAATCGCAACTGCAGCGTTATTCACATTAAAACAGTTTTTATTACGCCCGAAACTGCCGCCTAAAGTGACTCTAAAACTGTTCACATTGCACCCGCGGCCCTCAAATTGTGATATTCTTATGGGAGCTTTCTTATTGCATTCGTTGCGCTGAGCAGGTTCCATAATATTCTCAGTTTTCTACAAGTTTCCAGCTGTCGCGCTCCACCTTAGGTGACTTATAAATTATCTTTGCTGATAAATAAGATTTATATACATATGTATATATATATATATACATATATATATATATATATATATATAGAGAACGAGCTTAAAATGCTCTAGCTGCCAAGCGTTCTCATAGCAACAGAGTATTATAAGATATTTTCACAATAGAAAAGAGCAAAAACCAAGGCAGCAACCTACTCTCTATCTCTCTCCCTATCTCCATCTCCCTCGCACTCTTGTTCGTCCTTTAGCCGCAGCTCAGACTCAGCTGCGATTGCGGCATGAGCTGCACTTGCCTCAAATCAGTCAAGGGTAATATTCTTCCAGAACATTAAGCAGCAGCAACAACAACAACCGAAGCAATGAACCCAAACTGAAATGAAAGCTGAATCACAATTCCCAGCTCTCGCGCCCCCATCTCTCTCCCCCGTCTCCATCGCATCTGTTTCGTATTCAAAGCCAGCAGCGTATCGAAATTGGCATTGCCTGCTTTTGATGTATATTCATGAATTGTGCACCGTCTACAAACTGAGAACTGCATTCATTCACCTCGATTCATATACCTTCCAGCCCCAGCTCTATGAACTATTCCTGGCCCGATACCCGGTTGGACTGACATTTCCGAGAGCATCTCAAATATGAGAACGTTAGAAATGCTAGTTATAAATGCTCAGCTTTAGGGATTTTGATAGATCGTAAATGGAAACAGTCGATGGGAACAGCAATTGGGAACAGGAGTTGGGAACAAAAGTTAGGAATTGACGTTGGGAATAGAAGTTGGGAATAGAAGTTGGGAATAGGAGTTGGGAACAGCTGTTGGGAACAGAAGTTGGTGGGAACAGAAGTTGGGAACAGCAGTTGGAAATAGAAGTTGGGAATAGAAGTTGGGAACAGCTGTTGGGAACAGGTGTTGGCAACAGAAGTTGGGAACAGGTGCTGGGAACAGTAGTTGGGAACAGTAGTTAAGAACAGTAGTTGGGAACAGTAGTTGGGAACAGTAGTTGGGTACAGTAGTTGGGAACAGTTATTGGGAACAGTAGTTATGAACAGTACTTATGAACAGTAGTTGGGAACAGTAGTTGGGAACAGTAGTTGGGTACAGTAGTTGGGAACACTACTTATGAACATTAGTTAAGAACAGTATTTGGGAACAGTATTTGGGAACAGTAGTTGGGAACAGTAGTTGGGAACAGTAGTTGGGAACAGTAGTTATGAACAGTACTTATGAACAGTAGTTGGGAACAGTAGTTGGGAACAGTAGTTGGGTACAGTAGTTGGGAACACTACTTATGAACATTAGTTAAGAACAGTATTTGGGAACAGTATTTGGGAACAGTAGTTGGGAACAGTAGTTGGGAACAGTAGTTGGGAACACTAGTTGGGAACACTAGTTGGGAACAGTAGTTGGGAACAGTAGTTGTGAACAGTATTTGGGAACAGTAGTTATGAACAGTATTTGGGAACACTAGTTGGGAACAGTAGTTGGGAACAGTAGTTGGGAATAAGATTTGGGAACATAAGTAGGGAAGGAGGATATAAACATATATATATATATATATAGTTAGGGTATCTGAAAGAACAATGCCTTCTTCATATACAAATCTTTCAATATTTGAAATATTTTTCATTTCTGACTCGGGATCAAGCTGTCAAAAATAGATGTTTACTAAATTTATAGTTGACATGCTAAATCTATATCTATCGATAAACGACATTAATCGATTGACTAGTTGAGGCTTAACTTGATTTGCAACGCAAACTAAACCAAAAGGTCTTTGGAGTGACTTAACTCCCCTTCCTCTTCCCGCCCCCTCTTTCCCTAACAGTCTCTCCACTACACTCCTAATCCCTAGTTATATATTGGCTGTAATCTATCTAAAAAGCTGCGCTTTGTCTCTCCAGCAATGCGACAAATCCAATTCAATTTATCAAGCACTTGAGATTTGCCTTGCTAGCAGCAGTTGACAGGCTTAGGTGAAGGCCAAACAAATTACCGACCCAAAAGCCCCAAAACACACCAGCCCCAACCGCACCCCGCCCACGCCTTATGCCCTGCCCCCATTAGAAATCAAAGCCTCAACCGATTCGAAGCACTCGCCTTCTGCGTGTGTTCGTCTGGGTCTTATCATTTGGTTTATGCACTCGACGTTTGCTTTAGTTTTCGATTTTGTTTTTAATGAGCTGCATGTAAGTGAGTGGGTGTGGGTGGGTGGGTGGTTGGAAGTGGGTGTGTGCTTTATAAAACTTGTTGAGTTAACAAGTCTGCAGTTGACAGCTAACAAGCGCACACAAAACAACAAAAAGCAGCAGAAGAAAGAAAGAAAAAGGAAATGTCGCCACAAAGTATGCTTCAAGTTTTAATGTTGCGCCAGCCTAGTCTGTGTGTGTGTGTAGGATATGTGTGTGTGTGTGTAGGATATGTGTGTGTGTGTGTATATGCGTGCCGCTGCCAACTATGTGTGTGTGTGTTAAAGAGCTGCCACTCCAGCCACAATCGAATCGAACACAGCCAAAAGTAAAACAAAAACAAGAAACGATAAGCAAAAAAGAGTCAAACAGTTGCCACGCCCACGCCCACGCCCATGCCGACGCCCACTATTGCACGTGGGCGGAGAGCTTGGCCTGGCCGGTATAAGTGACACGGCCAGTTAGCGACTGCAGCGCGTTCTGCGGCAAGCACTTCTTCTTGGCCAGCTCGTCCAGCTTGACGCTGATCACCATGTCGATCTCCTTCTGGCGCTGCTGCTCCATGGCCCTGGCCTTGTCGCTCTCGACGCGCTCGTTTTCGATTTCGCGGCGTCGGGCGCGCTCGTGCTCCTCCATTTGGGCGGTGACACCCTCGTGCAGACTGAACTTGCGTCCCAGCTTCTTTTCCTGTTCGATCTTCTGCTGCTCCTCGTACTTGGCCCGGTCCAGCTTCATCTCGTCCATTTCGCGCTGGCGCTGGGCGTAGTAGCAGGCGCGCAGCTTATTGATCTGGGTCATGGCCTCCAGATTGCCCTGGCGCAGTTCGTCGGCCTGGCGACGACGCTTCTCCACGGCCTTGCGCTCCTCCAAGCGGTATTTGCGCTCCAGGCGCTCGTGCTCGGCCAGCAGACGCATCTCCTCCCGATTGTCCTTGGCATCGAGAATCTTTTGCTGTATGGCATAGAGCGCGTCGCGCTTGCGCTCCTTGGCCAGATCAATGGCTGCCTTCTGCTGGCGCTGCTCCAGCCGCTGGGCCTCCTTATCGATGACATATTTATTGGCGCGCAGCTCGTCGCGCTGCTCCTGCTCGCAGAGCATGCGTCCAAAGTCCTGATGCAACTTGATGTAGTGGAAGAGCTCGTTGCGATAATTCGTCTTCCGCTGGCCGTTGGCCACCGTCTGGTCCGCCTGGAAGCGTTTGTACTCGTCGTAGGCATCGCGCATTTGTCGCGACTCTTCGCGGCGACGCTCCTCAGCCAAATGGCGCAGCTGCCGGTGATCATTGATCTGCTGGCGCACAGCAGCGCCAAATGCAAGGCGCTTGTTGTGCGCCACCAGATCCTGTTCAGACGACGAGCCCCATTTGGATTCATTGAACGCCGTGTCCTTGCGCGCCTGCTCCACATCGTGTTCGGCCTGCAGGCGCTCCATCATCGCACGCTCCTCAATCTGGGCCGTCCACATGGCGCTGCATTTGGCAGCCCCAATCGCTCGGATGGCCGACTGGACGCGCACATCGTTCTCATGGCGGGCCTGCAATGCGAAAAATCGATAAATATCGCTCATTTGAGTAATGCATCTTTCAATTGTAGCTCATTTATCGATACTGTTATCGATTTCTTTTGTCATTTAACACTATTGATTCGCATTATTGACTATTATTATCGAATGATGTTCTTAGCTGTTATCGATTGTTGCCTTTAAAGTTAATTTTCGATTTCTGCTATTGATTTTAATTATTGGCTATCGATTACTGCTAAAAATGTACATTTATCGACTAATGTTATCAAATACTGCTGATGGCAATTGATCGCATCTAATAATATTATCGATTACAATGATCGATTTATATTATCAATGTCTATTATCGTTTATTTAATCACTCAGCTATCGATTAATTGTATCGATATCGGCTATCGATTAATAATGTCGATATATGTTATCGATTAATAATATCGACTTCTGTTTTCTATTAATAATGTTGACGTATGTTATCGATTAATATTATCGATCACTGTGCTGTTATCACCCACCTGCAATGACTTGTGCAAGACCATTAGACGCTTTGCCTCGGCCGCCTTCTCCGCATCATCGTCATCGGCCTCAGCATCGATCTGTCGCTGGACCTCGAGTTCGCGTTCGCGTCGCGCCTCGTCAATTTCATGGTAGTAGCTGCGCACGCGATCTTCCTCCTCCTTGTTCTGACGCTCTTCTTCCCTGAGCTGCTCCACCTCGGCCTGTATTTCCTCGGCGGTGGGCGGACGCGATGATTTCATGCGATCGACATGCTCCTTCTGCAGCGTCGCAAAGCCCTTCGACTCCCACGGCTGGCCGAGCACATGGAAGTAGGTGGCCTCGCCGCCGAGTCCCTTGCGCTTCGTTGGCTTGACCGGACGAAATAGGCCAACGGGCTTGGGTGCTACTGTGCCCGGAGGCAGTGTGCGCCGGTTCCCCTTTTTGCCAGCCAGAAGGAAGCCGTCCCGCTGCTGCAGCAGACCCTCTGCCAGCTGCTTCTCACAGATGGAGACGCGTGGCTGCCTCTTGAAGGCGCCCAAAAAGTCTGTTGGCACCGGCTTGGGCAACCGCACGGGCTTCTCCATCTCGAGCCCAATCTTGCGTTTGTTTCGGTCATAGCACTCCGAAGGCAGCACTCTACCTGGCCTTGTCGCACAGGGCATCGATGTCGGCATCTTGGCGAGCGACTTCTGTTTACTACTTCCAAATACAAAAATATATAAAAATATAGTTATTTTTGTTGTTTTTGTCGTTTTCTAGATTGTTTTGTATTGTTCTGCTTGAGAGAGACAGATTGAGAGGGGGAGAGAGAGAGAGAGAGAGAGCTATGCGTGTGTGCGGATGCTCGAGTATTTGTGTATGTGAGACTTCAGCTTCTCAGCTGGCAAGCGAACAGCTTTTCCCTAGCCTACTGGGTCTCTCGAAATAGTTCCCAAATGCTATCGATTAAGTATCGATTACTAGAAATTGATTTGAAAAGTCTCTCAAAGGCCACCAATAACACTATTAGATATTGACTTTTGTTCGATTCTCACTCGATAACAGATAACTGTCTAGATAAACGTACAAATTATTGATAATCGAACTATCGATTGACTACCGATAACACAACTAGATATCGACTCTTGGTCAGTCAAAAATCACACAGAGGTGACTACCGATTGGCACTTGATACCAAATAAAAGTCAAGAATTTTTGATCGTCGAACTTTTAGCCAAAGACGACTATCGATTAAATATCGATATCATTGAATTGTTTTGAGAATCGAGCCAGTCTGTCACCACTCTGTGAACCTGAAAGAGCTGAGATACTAAGCCTCAGCTGAAATCGATGAGATGCAGCATAATCTAGGAATTATGAGCTGTCTTAGCAGAGTTATTGAAATTCAAGTGGCCATGAGCTGAGTGAAAAGAAAGGACAGCGGCTATGAGAATTGAATGCAAAGTGAAAGCAAATTGAATCATAAATGAACTGAGATAGAAACGTTAATTAAGTAAGCTCAAAGCACAATTTCATTGATGCTCTCAATGTCTCTCTCTCTCTCTCATAGGCGTAGGCTGGGCCAGGAGCCAATTTGTTGTTACTTCAATTGAAATGGTTTCGGAGCATGTGTCTAACTTTGATATTTTTGCACTGCCAACGACCCACTCCTTACCCTTCAACCAGCCCTCTCTTCCCTCCCCTCCCCTCCCCTCATCAAACGTTTACAGCTTATGAAATTCTTTGTACTCTTCGTGGGCTCAAAATTGAATTGTATCAAATGTTGTTTTGAATTCAACTGACGTCATTTGCTGTTCGAGATTTGCTTACTTTACTCTGTGATGTCAAAGCACACACACTTACACACACGCATGTACACCCACGCACAGTTAGGCCTTAGATGGCTGCGGGGCAGACGCTTTTTCTGCTTCTATATCAAGTTGTTCGTGTCGTGCCTTGTTTGTGGCGCCTCAAGTGCCCAAAGTCTCATTGTGTTTGTCCTGTTTATTTGTTATTGTTGTTATTGTTATTGTTATTGTTGCTGCTGCTCTTGTTGTTGTTGTTGTTTAGCTGTCTTGTCAGTCACACATGCCAATGGCTAGAAGCAGCAGCAGTAGCTACAGACAACAAATCTATAATTCACTTGCCTCGCTGTCTACCTCTCTCTCTTTCTCCCTCTCTCTCCCTCTCTTTCACTCACTTGCTCAGTGCCTGTCAATGAGTTGGTTGAGCCAAGTCGCCTAGCTGGCCGCTGACAGGCGCAAAATATGAGTAACGCATTTCGTTTCATATTACGCATACGCCGCATAGTACGCCCTTCGGCCGACGTGGGCGGGCAGTGGGCGCGCCGTGGCAACGCACAAAAACTTTTGCACATTTCAATGGCAATAAAAGTGATTTAATAATGCTGCGTTAAAGCCCCAAACGACAGCAGCGCCAGCAATAACAGCAACAGCAACAACAACAAAAAACGTCTTAAAAAAAATGAGAAACAGAAAATATCTAGGCAAAAGATCTGAGCCGTCGCTCAGATACCCTAACAGAATGGACTCATTGAGTGTTAAGAAAATGAATTGGACTTAGGAATGAACTTAGTTGACTCAAGGTCAAGCTAGTCCAGCGTTAGGGAAAACTAGATAACATTTCTAGATTAAAGCGTTAGCTAACACTGAAATCTCCGCTTGCAATTCTGGTGTTAGCCAACACTGGAGAAATTTTCTAGATTTTCAGATTACAGTTCTGGTGTTAGTCAACACTGGAGAACATTTCGAGATTATAGCGTTAGCTAACACTGAACTCTCAGATTACAATTCTGGTGTTAGCTAACACTGAAATGTCAGAGAATAATTTCAACGTTAGTCAACACTGCATAACATTACAGATTTAGTGTTAGCCAACACTGAAATGTCCGAGAACGTTATCTGGCTTATACCGTTAGCCAGCACTCCATTCTACCTCTTCTCATCACAGTCTTCATGCTTTAGCTGTATAAACTGCCGTCGTTTCGTGTATTAAGCGCACTGCAAAATCAATTTGATTTGTCGCCGGCTATGCTATGCTATGCTATAGGCGTGTGGCCATGCCCATTGCGTGTGATTAACTGCGCGTTTAATGTGCATGCCCGGCCATAAAACAAATTGCATGCAATCGGCCTGTTGTCCCATGTTCTTCTCCACGCAGCACACACAACTCTCCGATACTTCAGCCCCAGAATTCTCATTCTCTTTCACTGGGCTCCGTTTGAGCTGCTGGTGCTGCTTTGAAATGTAAATACAGCTCATTATTTCAATGCGTAGCCATTCATTTGCAAGGATTCCAAGGACTCTAGCCTTGACCAAAGACACATAACCCCACAGTTCCCCCACCACAGTTCCCACTCGCCCTAACGCTGCCACACATACTCGCAGAGTCAAAGCTGAATTCGAGCCTTTGCATGAGAAGCTTTCTAGTTTTTTCACTGCAGACGCACTCAAATGTCATAGATTTTTGATAGCAATACGAGCGGGGTTAGGGGGACTAAGCTCGAAGGCAAGTTCTCTCTGTGTGACAAACGAACGTCCATTAGGATGATACTGTTATGGCTGTGCCTCTTTAATTATCTCTTTGGACAGGGTTTCTGTACTGTGTCTGTTGCCTATCGAATGTTGACTATCGATAACAATGAAAATTAATATCTATACATAGACGTAGCTTGTATATTTAGAAACCTCTTGTTATCGATTTTACCTATAGATTTTAGCTTTTCTTTCGATATGCTTTAATAATCGCTCAATAATCGTTGTTTTAGCTTATGTATTTGGTCAATCGATAGTATCTATCGTCATGTTTTAAAAATCGATTGAGTTTTTTCTTAATTAGTTATCGATCTTTGCACGAAAATTGATTTTTGACTGTATACATCAGAAATTCTTTATAAATGCAACTTGATGTCAAAAATGATCAAAAATATCGATAAAGCAACAATCGATATTAGTTGAAAGCTTATCGATAACATGCCAACCGATCAATTTACTTAAGTTTTTCACAGGCAATCAGTGTCCTTGTCCCACTGTACACGGTCAAGCTTTAATTAACTTTAGTGCTTCATATTCTTGAAGCATGCCCCGCACAATCACGCCCCTTTTGCCAGCCTGCTTTTCATCTAGTTGTGTGTTTTGTTTTGCTGCCCCGGGGTTTATTATTTTCACTTAATTTGTGCTTCATTTAATTTTTTTGGCTCGCTCCGCTCCCATTTTTGCTGTTGACCCCAACAACAATAATTTTAGCTTTTTTTGGGTCGTCTATGAAATTGACGTGTCTCGACTGTCCCAGAAAGTCAAATGCCGCATCATCTCAGCTCAACAAAAAAAAAAAAAAAACAGGAAAAAGGAAAAAAAGAGAAAAACCTTCTTCATTTTTTTGCCTTTTCATTTCGCTTCTTCTTTTTTTTTGCTATTTGTTATTTATTTTTATACAAATTTGTTAGTCCACCTTCCCCTGGCGCCTGAGCCAGCTGATGTTGTTGTTGTTTATGTTCAAATTAACTTGGCCCACAAAAATGTTGTAGAAAGGCAAAGCCCGGCAAGGCGAGGCCAGGCCAGGCCGAGCCAGAATGACAGTGCAGGTAGCAAAAGGTATTAAGGGAGGTGCCCATCCGCCGGATAGCCTCGTCGCAGGCGCAGGAAACCAGAGTGCGAGAGAGGAAGGTGGAGTCTTAGGGGTATGGCAGGGCGGGAGGGTGAATTGGGGCTAAAGGTTGCCCCGTTGTCGTTTCCTGACAGAGCAGGCCCGGACACAAAGCGACAAAGAAATGTTTCGCATGCTGCACAATGGCAAATAATTCATAACTTGGTTCAAAAGTTTGATTTAGCTGCAGTTAATACACAGTCTATCCCTCCCTCTCGCTCACCCTCTCTCTCTCTCTCCCTCTCAGTGCGTGTGTGTGTGTGTGCACGCTGGCAACTGTTGGCCATACGTCGGCCTGCATAAATTTTGCTGGCAGTTGGCCCTGCCCAGAGCTCCGCTGACAGTCGCAGCCACACATTTTGCTAGCAGATAAATTACGCTTGAAGCAGCAGGCGTATGGAAGCGGAAGAGCCAACAGCTCGGACCGAAGATGAAGCAGCACATGCAGCGAGCGAGCAGGAAGCTCCAAGCGCGAGGGGGCAGCTGGAGCAACAGTGCATAAAGTACAGCATCCTAAGGTCTATAGACTACAGGCTGGACCACTCGCTGACGACTGTCAAGCTGGTCTCTGTATGCTTATTTTTCTTTAGCTGTAGACGCAGACAACACACACACACACGCACACTCACAGAGAGACGTATTTACTGGCAGGCGACATAAGTAACAAACTGATTTTGGCCACAGCTGGCAAAAAATTGCTCACTTTTTGCTGCATTGGCAGACGTAGCAGAAGATTTTTATGGGATTATCTGGAGCTTAAGCACGAATCTGTATGCCAAAACCCGGTTGGCCTTGCTGTTTATACATATATTTAATATATAATCTGGCGTATTAGCTACGCCAAGCATTTAATTTATACAATTTGAGCTGAGCTGAAGAAGAAATTGCAGTTCATCATTTTCACATCTCTTTTTGCCTGTTTTGAAGCGGATTTGTATGCGGTTCTAAGCTTGATATTCGGAAACAAATGACTTAAGAAACTAGAAAGATTTTCTGTTTGGCTTAAAACATAATCAAAATCGTCAGTGAACCTATTCGGAGTGTTTCTGAGTGTTTCGGAGTGTTTCGGAATGTTTCGGAATGTTTCGGAGTGATTCGGAATGTTTCGGAGTATTTCGGAGTAGTGCCACACAGAGTCTGCAATGACTTGATTTGCTCCTAGGGTGGCTTAGAGCAGTAAACAGCGTTTGAGAATAGCCTTTACTTGTTCGGAGTAATTACAAGTGATTCGGAATCATTAGAAAATTTAAGTAAATTGCCGAATTTGTTTTATAAGTAATTTCGGGATACTTGGATACCTTGAGAATAGTCTGAAAACATTCGGAAATTATATCTAATATTTAGACCTATCTCAAAGTGCTCTAACGGATTCTGAAGCAACAACTTTTGTCGCCTGGTCAACTGCCAAAAGATGTCAGTCTCCATTTGCCCTACTCTCCATTTCCTCATATCTCTACCCCCTTCTCTTCCTTTCTCCCTCACCCTCCCTCGCTGAGTCTTTGCCTTTGAACGTATCTGCGCTCGGCTCTCTATATATCGCTGGCCCTGTTCTTGGCAATAAATTTTTAACAAACATTTAACTTGCATTTTATTAGTCCCCAGTCAGCGGAGCAGAAGAGTTACTAGCTGTCAGGCAGCCGGAGCGAGAGGGCTGCTGTTGCCGTCTCCATCTGTTCTGGCTGTCTGTCTTTCGGTTTCCTTTGCTGCGAAGTCATCATAATGACAATTTCTTGACTTCTTTTCCTTTTTTTGGGTCGCATTAGCTGTGTTCCACTTTCGTCTTGGTTTCATTTCATTCTGTTTCGCTGCTCGATTGGAGCTGGAACTGGAACTGGAACTGGAACTGGTGCAGTTGCTCACTGGCCGTTGATTCAGCCAGACAGTTGAATATATTTTTCTTTACTGATTTGAGTTCTTGATTCGTTCCGTTGGCAAATTCTAATCAAAAATTTGAAAAGCAAATAAAAAATAATAAAACCAAAAAAAAAACAACAAAATTCCAAAACACATTTTCAGCTAAGCAAATGTGTGAGCAGCAATCAATCAAAAACTTGTAAAGACCAACAACAATAAAAACAAATGAAAAAAAATTACAAAAAGCAAAAACAACAAAAAATACCGCAAAACTAGTGCAATAAAAAATACCAAAAATGCGAAAAACTAAATGAAAAAAAAGGAGAAAAATAAAAAACCAACCAAAAAATAAACACAAAAAGCAAACAGCAAAAACGTTCCATCGCCGATAACTGATAACCGATAACCGATAACAGTTAATCGCAAATCGTGAACTGCTAATCGATACTTATCGATCTATCGATACAATCAACATACACACAGACAGGCACACACACGCACACAGAGACTCCACGTAGAAATGGACTCGCTGGAGCGTCTAATGCGAGCCGCCCCACTGCCCCGCATGCTAACCAGCGGGGTGGTGGCAACGGCCGCCGCTGCCGCTGCCAGCGCCGCTGCTGGCGTCAAGGGCGTCGTCGGCATCGCTGGCCAGCAGCAGCAGCAGCAGCGCGCCCTGGTCCATGCCTCGCTGGCCGCTGCCACAGTTGGACGCAAGGGACGCCATCTGACCGGCACATTTTGCTTGACCGGCGATACCATGGAGGGCATCATACAGTGTTTGGTATTTCTCAAAGCATTCTCGGTAAGTGGAGACGAGAGACAGCCCGTGGTAGAGCGAGAGTGAAAGAGAGAGAGAGAGAGAGCGAGCAAGTCTGGGCTTCAATCTTAATCTGTGTCTCATATTTCGTCCTGCACAAAATTCAATTTAGTTTTTGGTTTGCGCTTGACTAAGTTTTTTTTTACTACCCTCACACACATCAGCCACCCCCACCCTAACGACCCATCAAAATGTGCAATAGGCTGTAAATAGGCAAATACATTTCACACACACACAGCCAGACACTGTGCGTGTGTGTGGAGCTGATTTTGGGATTTTGGCTTGTGAACTCACTTTGATATGAATTTTATAACTACATTTACAGTGGGCCACAAGCGAGGGAAGCAGAGGAAGCGAGGAGAGTGGAGAGAGGGTGGGAGTGGTAGAGGAAGAGGAAGTAAGGGAGGAGTCGCCCGTATAACACTGACCATGTGCCATAAGCCGATATTCATATAATATAATTTAACTTGTCTGCATATTTTTAACACATTTTCTTCTCTCTTTTCTCTTCTCTGGTCTCTTTGCAGGTGAGTTGAGTCCGGTTCCGCCCACTTAATGCACGCCCCTTACAGCAACACCTGCTGGGTTTTTGTGAGTACAGCCTTCAAGTTAATTAAAAGCAAATGCTTAACTTGGCCAAAATACACACCTAAACACACACACACACACACCCAAGCTTTGCCACAGAATTTGAATTCGAGATTTTTGCTTGGCAAATATCTTAATGCTAGTGTGTTCGAGTGTATGTGTGTGTGTGTTCAGTGTGTGTGTGTGTGAGGCAACTCTGCACAATTGGCAGTATGCAAATTCTCCGAAATTTTTCCAACATAATTGGCTTTGTTCAGCAAACAGGACTTAAAGCTAAATTTAAGCCTAAGAAAATAATAAAAAAATTAAAAAATTAAAGAAATAATCTAAATAAATAAATAAAAATATATACGACACTAAGGTCATTATATAAATACAAGACAATAAGTTAAATAAGTTAAAAATATATATAAATAAATAAAAAAATATTTTAAAAATTATTTAAGTAATACAAAACATGAAAACAATAAAATAAAACAAATATCGAAAAAAATAAAAAATGTATTACAAAAAAAATAATAATATTAGCAATCCATTAAATATATATAAATAATTAAATAAAAAATAACAAAAAATAAAAAATATAATAAATAAATTTACATAAAAAAAATATTTACTTAAATAAATTCTTTTTAACTTAAGTTCATTTAAAGTGGTAAAAAGTCTTGAGCTCTAAGCCATAGTTCAGTTAATTCTCATTGTCTTCAATGTAAGTCCTCAATGTAAACGGTTCTGCAATCGCAGCAGCAGCAGCAGCAGCAGAGTTTTGTTAAACAGATTTCAGCCTCAAGTCTTGGCAGCTCAATAATCGAAGCAAATTGATTTCTACTAAAGTTTACTCAACTGAAAGTCTGATTGCCATATACAAATCTAGATATATGTCTATATAATTGAATCAATGAGAATTTCTTTTTATTTATATCAGTATCAATTGAGCCAGGCTGGGCTCTGGCTGGAGCCTGTTTAATCGTCGCATGCTTATAACTCAATTTCCTTGGCGACGCGTTGCGCTTGTCGCTTGGTTGGCGAAATTTGATTGATTTATCTGGCCTCTCGTCTTTTTCATGGGACTTCTTAATTAAGTTTGACTTCGTTTCACTTCTACCGACTGTTTTAATATTTATTTGCATTCGCTTTTCAGTCTGCTGACAACTTCATTTCCTTTTGCCTTGGGCATTTATTCCTTGATTTTAATTGCAAGCGTTTCGCTTCCACTTCCACGTCTACGCCCACGTCCACGTCCACTAACTCCACCTGCTCTTTTATTCTCTTTTACTTTCTCGTTACTCGCTGCAACTAAAGCGACTTGCACTGGTAGCTATTTAAATATTTATTTACAGCCGATTCTCGGCTTTGGTATTTAAATTGAGCCTCCCACTCGCTACTCTTTGACGCACTCCTATCGTCACCTGTTGCTCTCTCCTTGAGCGAAACATTGTTTGCTTTCTTCTCATTTGTCAAAAGGCGTAAGACAAGCAGCAAGCACTGAGTGAAGTTTAACTATCTTATGGTTTTTGTGGCTTTAACTTGATACTTTCGTTGGTTGTCTCTATCGTGCTGTGATTTGTCTGATTTAATTATAGTTCACGTTAGTTATTGAAATCGCTTTTAGGTTTAATTGTAACTCTTTACATGATAGACTCGTTACTCTTTCTACTTGTTGCCCGTTGGTCGTTACTCGCTCTATTCGTTACTAGTTCTGCTCGTTACTCGTTCTTCTCGTTACTCGCTTTGGTCGTTAACACTTAACCTGTTCTACTCGTTGCATTTCAACTCGTCAGCGAGTAACTGAGAGCTCCACTCGTTATGCCTTCAACTCGCTACTCGTTTGACTTGCTACTTGTTTTGTGTGCTACTCGTTACTCCCATCTCTCGCTACCCGCCACTGCTGCTATCTTTGTTTTTTCCTTTTGTTTTTTATGTGTTTCTTAAGTACTTAGCACTCAATGGTATTTCTGTATGCATTACTGTCCCAAGCGAATGCTGTCAGGTTTTAACATTTCGTTTTGTGCATTTTACGGCTCACACACACGCACACAGATTTATTTGTATATTAAGCGCTGGAAGCAATTGCAGTGCCATTAAAACTGACACATTGCAACTTCATTTCACTGGGGCTATCAAATAATTCCGCCAAGACTCAAAAAAATACACACGCACACACAGTAACACACACACACACACACACACACTTACATGCAGTGACATTCATATAAATAAAAACCACAGTGAGGACTTTTTACGCATCGTTAATTTTTCCCCGTAGACGCATCTCGACGCTCAGCGACAATTCTGGGCCTTTGCCTCCGACCCCAGGCAGGCCCATAGCCTGTCACTATCTGCGGCTCAGTCTCCACTCGCACTTGCCATTGCTTGCTCTGTCGCTCATTCAGTTTGTCACTCTTTCACTCAATCAGCCATTGGCGCTGTCTGCCATTATAATGATGTCTGCCTGTTAGGCCTTTACATTTTACTTTGACATCAACACCAGCAGCGAAAGCAACCACCGCAGCGGCTGCTGCTGCTGCTGCTGTGATTTACTTACTGCCGCACCACCCAACCACCTCTCTCGCTGTTTCTGTTCCTATCTCGCTGAGTGTAAATTTAAATGTTGCACAAATATGAAAAGCAATTTACATAATATCCTGCCAAGTGTAAAATGATTGTCAATGCTGTCTGCCCGCTGTAGGGGCTGTGGCCCCGCCCAAGCGCCGCCTGCTCGTCGCCACAGCGGGCCAAGTGGGCCAAGCGAGCCACAGAGCCACAAGGCTGTGGCTCAGGCAACTGTGAAATCGTGTAGAGTTGGTATTCTATATATAGCTGAGGAGGAACTTGGTAATTGAGTCGATAGACTATCGATAAATCGAAGTTGATCGATAGCAGATAATACTTAATATGTTATCGATTGCACGCGACAACTCGAATGCATTATTGTAGAGCCTCGTATTACCGATAACTTGACCATGTTCGATAGGCAGTCGTAAGATTAACATATCGATAGTTTTTATTTTCAATATCGATAACTTGTGCTACTTAGCGACAGCTTATAATGGCCACGATTTGCTTCTATCGATATCTAGCTATGAGTTATCGATAGCTGCTCGCATTCGTATTCATAATGATGTGTTATCGATAATAAATAAATATGAGCATATCGAAAGCATTAGCTCTTTAGGAGAAGAAAATTCCGCATCTCAACTCTCTGCTCTGTCTGCGTCGCAATAAGATGTAATCGAGTTTTTTACTATTATTGCTATCGATAAATTTGTCACACGTTGCTCTGCGATTTTTCACCATTTTGACTAAGTAGATTGTGAAACACTTCGACTCGGCCATGTACCTAATGCCTCACGCCCAAGCCTCCACTCAGTGTTTCTCTTAATTTATCTGCGCCCTTGATTCGAGCTCGCACGCATGGTGCAGCGTCCCTTGGGCATGACGGGGGACCAGAACGAACAGGAGGTGGGCTCTGTGCATCCGTCAACATTTTGGAATTGATGATGTCTGCGTATATTATGAGGTTCAATATCCTGGATAATGACGACAAATTGCGCAATATTTGCACCAAGCCAGTCGCAAGCAGCAGATAGCAAAGGCGAAAGGAGAAACGAGAAAGCAGAGGGAAAGAGAGGGAGAGAGAGGGCAAGGGCGAGGCGTAGGTAGAACAGGGACACTGTTGACTGTTGCTGAGTGCTACTGCTGCTGCTGCTGCTGCTGCTGCCGTGTGTCCTTGTAAGTGTCATCTACGTCTACGGCTACGGTCAAACATGATTGATGAACGCTAATTAATGTGGCTGTCCAGGCACTGCCTGCCCGCCTGCGGCCCCTTGGCC